CTTCTACATCTAGAAAGACTTCTAGAAATTTTTTAGGCCACGTAGGTTTTCTTGTGTCATGTGGCAACAAAATGAGGCAATCCACATGTCATTGGAGATGCTCTAACGGTCAACTCATCACACTTTTTTTAAACAAAAATACATACTCAATTATGAAATGTTATATTTTTGTTTTTGTTGTTTTTTATAGTATGATATTTTATTTTAATAGTATGCATACTTGTTGAAAAAATATGACCGTTTAACTTTTGACCATATCCAACAACTGTCTTACTGAATTATATCGGGTCGACCCGACTAACCGTTATTTGTGTCTTTATAGTAATCCCCTATAGCTAACTACCAAATTCTTGACATTGTACTAACTAAACCAAGCCTCAAACATTATATGTTACTTTCTAACTAGTATTCGACCTTGTGCATTTGCACAGATATAAATAAAATTAAATATTATAAGTTATATTTATGTATATAATATAAAAATTATAAGTTATATAATTGTATTAAATTTAAAACATATAGTATTATAAGTTATTTTTATGTATATAATATTAAAATTATAAATTATATAATAGTTGATCATTGGTTAAAATAAATAGTACACACGATTTGATTGTATACGAATCACTATAGTGATTGCATAAAATGCAATAAATATATACCTTTTATAATTTTGAGTGATCATAACCAATTAATTAGCTGAAAAATATTACATTTATTATAACAATTGCTTATGTGATTTTAAGAAATTTTACTATAACATAAAAAAATTAATTTATTAATAAACAACATCTTCATCATATAAAAAAATATTGATTTTAGTGTAAAATATAATTTTATGTAACTTTCATATATTATTTAGTATAAAATATAATTACTAATTTTAATATTAACTATTATATTATTCAATAAAAAATATAATTATTAATCAATTAACATAAAATATAATGATTTTTGTCTTAATTAATCCAAAAAATGTAATGAAATATTTTCTTATTAATGAGATTGGGTGTATTAATGCGACATAAATAAAATTTATTAAGTTCTATTTATTAGGTTTTATTAATGATTTGCCACATAGGTAAAATTTATTAAGTTCTATTTATTAGGTAAAATTTATTGCTTAGCTAGCAATTACATATATATAGATTATTCCCAAGAAACAAATTAATATAATAAATAATTATAATTAGCTAACCCAAATGACTTAGACTTGCATTTAATTATCCTTTTTCGTACCCTTCTAACAACTTGGCACATGTACATCAGACACAATTCCAGCAACACTAAATCATCAGATGAAGAAATTTTCACAAAACCAAATCTCACTAAGACTTTGATAACATAGCAATTAATTTAAGTCTGGAAACTGAAAAAGAAAAACTTAGTTTGATTCACCTAAGAACGCTTAGGTTTGAAGGTTTAATAGTTTCACCTAACAAATGTAAAACGACATTACGACAGAATTTTCTTTTTCTTTTGGCTGTTAGCATTCAGTCTATATAAGCTTGCGTTGGGCAGTCATGGCTGAGTGCAACTTGCTCAGATCAAGACATATCAACTGAAGAACAAAGAAAAAACTTAGTTATT